GTTTTGGGGGGTCTCTCGCTTCGCCCCCTGCTGCCATGGTCATCAAGTGCGGTGCTCATCCTGAAAAGCACATCACGTCCACGGCCAACCACACGTGAATTCCAGCGCCACTGCTACTTCGGCCGTCGGCGCAATCGTTGCACACGCAAGCCCGCCACGCAAAGCACGACACAGCCAGGCTCACATACTTCGGTGCGCTCTCACCCGAAGCCGGTACCGACGAAGGGCTGGCCAAAGGCTGCGAAGGCTGCCGCGACTGCTCTCCTTCGCTTTGCAGCTCCACAGCCTCCAAGGGCTCTCCCTCATCGGTGTGGGCTTGCGGCTCTCCAGGCTCCGGAGGCTCGGACGCCGGCTCTATTTCAGCCGCGGATGAAAGGCGCTCTGAGGAAGGTAGTATGGCATCGTCCGACTTGATGTCCTCTCCTGTGGAAAGGAGAGGAACGAGAATCGAGGAGAGAACGGGGTGCATTCTGTAACTTTTGAAAGACCTATAGGGGGGGGGCACCGTTTCTCGCCTCCCACGACCATCAAGTCCAGCAGCGGCAATCTCGGGGCGATGAACACGAATCGCACGTGATGACCGTTGCAGCAATCGATACCGCCACAGAGAAATGTCAGTATTGCTGGTCTACAACCTTTGAACCTTGCCCTCCCGTCCCTGGTCCCCCGCGTCCCACCCTTATCGTCTAGGCCTACGCGTTTGCTGCTGTCGTCAAATTTTGACGTTGGATGGTCATGCACTGCGAGTTGGCTCAGAAAGCTGACTGGATCTGTACAACATTTGGCATAACGAGCCCCCGCCGCATATGCCCCTTGGCAGTACGCTAAATTTGTGGTAACTGGGTTCTAGTTAGGTTCCGGGAGGAGGGCGCGGGGGGGTTACGGTGCCGAGCGTGTACCCGGGCCACTTTGTGCGCCGACTCGGTGCCAAGGAAAGACAGAGACAAAGCGAGGGGCGACGTCTTCGCTACGAGAACACGGAAACAAGGGTGTACACCCCACAACCCCCGACGAAGTTGTTCGGGTGCGGAATGCACCCTGCTCGTTGCGCGGGGAACACGCTGAATGAAAGCAACCGACACATAGGGTAGTGGTGAAGAGGCAACTGTACTCGCCGGCCATATGTTTCGCAAGGTCATAGTTTCCAAGAAGCCCCTCACGCGATTCAGCGGTAACTCTGCAATAATCTGTCTGCTACTGATAACCCGCACGTATAGCAGTGGCAGGTCCCGCTTGGGAACAGGCCTACCGCAGAGACGAGAGATACCGTGCCTTTTGACTGCACGAGATGTCGCGTCTCTGACTGCATACTGTTTGAGGGGTGTGCCCAAGGGCAGGCTGAATGCTACATCTTGATTTCTACAGCAGTACATTGAAACTCGGCAGTGGACAAGGGGCCATTTCGCTTGGAATCTACAACATGTGGCGTTGGCTGCTTGCGGCACCAACAGCACACATGCTTCCGCAACAACAGTCGGTGAAAGCAAGAGTCTGACTGGAGAAATCACACCGTGCCAATACAAGCACGTCAGTTTCGAGTTTATGGCCTCAACAGTAGTAGTAGTCGAGCGCTCAATTCGAACGGACTGACCCCTCCCCGCGCCCGTCTCTTCATAACGCAAAGATCGAATCCGCCGCGCCGATGGAGATACAAACAAGGGTGCGGACAAATCTTTCTTTTGTCACACGTGCCGCTGCTTCGATGGTTTTGTGCTTGTAGAAAAGCCAGCTGGGCGAGACCCGGAACCAAATTGCAGCCTACGCTACGCACCGTGACTGCCAACACTCTCGATACACGCCATTTCACCGCCACCGGCACACGCAGCGAGATACTTTCCCTCTACGTGGTTGGTACAGCAGTTTTAGGTTTTAGACGCCCTCTTGTTTGCTTTGAAGAAGAATATCAGGTCAGTCGCGCCGAGCAAAAGTGTGTGTCTTCTCCCAACTGCCATGCTAAAATAGTGCCGTCCCAAGAGTGAGGTCAAATTTGTGGGTTTGAAACTCAGAATTGGACAAATCCGCCACTTCAGTTCTTGACTTGGAACCGCTGTTGTCAAGATTAAGATTCGGTATCTCTGATGAAACTCATCCTAAACTTGAGCGGGAGCATGATTCACAGATGTCGTCTCTCCACACATATGCACCCGGCGGATGTCCGGCGGACTCGACTACAGGTCATGGCGCAAGAAAACCGCACATAAAGCAGCATTATTACATGTACATGTACATAGTGGTGCTCACATCGATCCCCGGGACAAGAGAGCGGGTCATATCAAACTTACACAGAGAGCGCGTCTTATGTAAACCTGATCCGTGTATCATATCTTCTTCATCTAGCATGGATAGGCGCGAGTGTTGGATGCGTTCTTTCCCGCGCTATGTACACATCGCTGGCGTGCCATACTCGTCCTGAACGGCGGTGAAAGAGAGAAGGAGGCCGAGCGGCCAGGCGGCCAGGCTCTCTCTCACGCCGCTCCTCCTGCCTACAAAGACCATCAATACGCCTTACATGGAGTAAGTGCCAAGGAAGCTATCAGGAAAGCACGCACCGCGTGCACCGATCAGCACCACTACGGATTGTCTCTGTCGCTTTCATCGGCTCGTTTTTTCTGGTGGTGTTACACGCCGGCCCATTACAAAACACGCGGCGCGCGTGACGCGTGACAACGAGAGAGAGAGACTGTCATCAGAGGGGGTACGCACACTGGGGTTAGTATGTCCGTGTGCTCACGCACATGACACAAAGCATACCTAAGACAGGTGCCGCTGATCCAGCAGCAGGGACGGCTGTTGAAGGCTCCGGGTGCTGGCCCGACGGCTCCGCGCACTCCCCGGTGGTCTCCGCGGCAGGCTCCGAGCATGCGCCAGGTTCCGAGGGCTCCGTGGCCTGACCGGAGGAAGGTTTACAGTCTTCGTTTTCCGGCTTGACCCCGTCTCTCAGGCAGAAACCTCTCCCCCTGCTGCTGGGGGTCTGGTAGCAACCGTTGTCGGCGCACTTGAAACCAAACAGCTTTCCCAGGGTGCCGGGGCTCGGTATATCCGTAGATAGGGATGGCGCCCACATCATGGTTTCTACCGGCTGCCCCTGTGGCGGTCTCGTGTGTACGAGAGACAACAGAAAAGGTCGGGTGCGTGTGTGTGAGTTTTCGCGCATTTTTTTTTCATGTCGGGGAGACGCAGACTGTATTCAAAGTGGGGGCCAGATCTACCGATACATGCCACCATGAGGGCTCCAATTTTTTTGCCACACGCGTGCACTTGTCCTTCTGCTGTCGACGCGACCTATGAAGCATGCAGCAAGTGTGGGGCTTACGCGCCAATTATATGGGAACTCCAACGTCATTGACTGAGATCGAATAAAAATTTGCTCCCATTTTCTCCGGTGTGTCCGGCCGAATTCGACGTATGCAGTTTGAACGCTCTGTCGATCTATCTATCGATGTACGCGTACAACAAAGGCATCTCAGCTATGCAAGGTTTTCGTGGGATTGGGAATGGGAACGTCCTGCAGCATTACACACCAACAAGGCGAGGTCACGAAACAAATTTGTCGGTTTGTGCAAGTGTGCGATGAATGATACATGAATGACGCGCCAACAGCAGTGTTGCCCGAGGGCGCGAACGAAGAGCAAGCTCCCTGGGAATGCGACCTATCTCAGCAGCAGGCTGATAAATGCAGTGCTCTCCAATAAACAGAGGGAAAATAGTCATTCACACTTCACGGGGAAATGGGTATCATTACCCCCAAAAGTGTCATGAACGTAGAGGCAACCTAGGCAGAAAACAGAGCATTCGGGCAAATTGGCTTCACTTGTATCAACAAACATGTTGCTACCGGCCAATACGCCCTTCCAGTATCCTATTTCTTCGCCCTTCCCTCTCGCCTTTCCACGTGTGAACAACAAACAAGCAAGCAGGCTGACACCCACTATACGCACAAAAACGCTGGACACCAGATACGATACGCTCGTAACAGGTGTAAATTCTACTACAGCACGAACACACCCGGTCATGACCCTCTACATGCACTATGAGCCCGACATTCGTGGCGCACAGCAGCACCAAACAACGTAATCAAATGGATCAGGATTGGCTGCATGCGAAGATGGCGACTGTTATATACTACTCTCTTTCTTCCATCCTAACTGCGATTGCCAAAAAGGAAAACGGCTGCAACGAATCCAGCTGCACAACAACAACCAACATACACGCAGGGGGGGGCGGGAATGGCTGGGCAACCCCTCGCCATACAATACACGCGAGAGATCCCGCCTGGTTTTGGTGACCAAACGATATCGTTTCGAAACCTCCGTATCCAACTCGCAACCGTAACAGAGCACAAGCGGCCGTGCGACCACCGAAAGTCATGCTGAAAACCTACCGTAGGGACGCTGATAGCAACATGCGCGACATCGACTATTGCATCCTTCAAAAATATACATTGCGTGAGTAACAAACTAAACGGCAAATAAACTACACGGCAACAAGCGCCACAACGATCTATCCAAAACCAACCGAGTTTCATAGACCAGCTCCCCGAGTTGAAAGGAGGCTGTAACTCCCGGAGGTCAGTAAGTGCAACAGAGGCACTACTTGTAGTCTACACCGGAGCAAATTCCTGCAGGTATAATAGTCGTTTCGCCCAGGGACGTTGGACGATATTTGCCGGGGTAACGGCCACATGTGGCAACTAATCAACAAGAAAGTCTGCACCTTCACTCTTGGCACACCCCGCTACTGTATACTACCTGCCCCAGTGGTGGTGGCACGGAGTGTTGTACATTGAAGGTGCGTGCTCGAGACACGCAAAAGTGCCGTGCTAACGACACGCAAAAGCAGTCCCACACCCTTTTCGAGCCGGCCACGAGGCTGACACATGCTCTACCATCAGGTAAGCCCCCTCTAACCCACTCCTTGACTGGAGCAACGCCCAAGGGCTCCAACAGAAGACAGCTCTCGAATCCGGACAAACAAAAACATGACCGTGACGCTTGCGGGTGTCTCTCGAGTGACCCCTCAACCAGAGGGGGGCCCGGCGAATCAACACCATGAACAAGAAAAAGACTGCCCGGTACCCGGGGATGTACAACACAACGGCGGCGGCGGCTTCGCTCTATTCGAAGTCTTCGTCGTCGTCTATCCAGATCTCTCTCTTGCGCTTCTTCTCCTTCGCCGGCTTCTGCTGTTTCTTGCCCGCCGTCTCTCGCGGAGACTTGCTGTTGCCCTTCTTCCCCTTGCCGTCCTTCTTGCTCTTGCTCTGATTGGTCCGCGATGTGAGCAGCAACAACATAGCGGTGGCCGCGCGAGGGGGTCGATTCTGTGCGTGCTAAATATCGTTTTTCACAACATTTCGTCGTCGTCTTGAACGCCCTGCGCCAAAGGACCGCCTTCGCGAGAGAAACGAGTTTTATGAGGAAATAGAACAGGGAGGGGGGACGCAGACCGTATTCCCGAACCCTAACCCTAACCCAACTTCCCTGATTGTATGCTTTATCCAACATGTTTACTTAAAAATAGAAACACCAAGCCTGCGAAGGCTACTGGCGTGAAACTTACGCGATAAATTGACTACATAGGTTAGCGGGGTTTTTTAGGGAATTTTAAGTTTCGGGTCATGAGCTTTAAGTCTTGGTTGACCGTTACGACTCTTGTTCTCATCGTTTTGCGCCATGATATGCAGGCGTCGTACCTTGTAGGCTTGCCTTTGTTGTTCGCCTTGTCGTGGTGGACAGCAAGCCGATGACAACGACAACAACAACAACGACGACGACGACAACGACGACGACGACGACAACAACAACAAGGATTTAACAACAATAACAATAACAACAACAACAACAACAACAACAACAACAACAACAACAACAACAACAATAAGGATTACCCCGCACCTTCTTCTTGGCGCTCACGAAGTCTTCGTCTTCGTCGTCGTCGTCCTCGTCCTCCTCCTGCCCCCGTCCCCTATTCGCATCGCCGGACGATCGAGGGGACAGGGGACTCGAGCGCCCCATCCCCGGGGGGCGACAGCCTGTCAAGCACATGATGCACTTCCGTGTCGACAAGGCGTTCGCGAAGGTGCACACGGCACACAGCCACTCCGTTTTCTCGCTGCTGCAGCAGTAGCAAGAGCAGCCAGCAGCAGTAGCAGACGGTGCGTCGTTACGTCAGTGGAAAACAGGAACGGGGCAGGCGAACCATCATCAGGACGCCATACTCAAAGAATAGACCCGCGATTTTTTAACAAAACGTGGGCGTGTGGGCCATTATACGAGGAGGCTTCGTGGCGCCATGCGCCAACAACATGCTCGATGCTGCTGCAGCGAGCAAAAGGCTTTCGTCATCAACATCTCCGCCGACGACACAGGGAAGACATGCCAGCCATCGGTTCGGAACTGTGGGATTGCAGGCGGCCTGTAGAGTACGCCACCGCAGCAAACGCCAACTCAGGAAACGAATGCATCCGGAAGAAAAAACAAACTGGAGACGTAGGTAGCGGCAAGCTCCCGTCGAAAAACCCCTCCCGGCAGTGGCGCAAAAAGCTTCCCCCCTATCCGTCTCTGCTTCCAACGAGAACCCCCCCCCCCCCCCCCCCCGAAAAAAAAAGGGGTACAGAA